CTCAGTTCATTTCTGTAACAAGCTTATTTTTTGTCTGGTGCAAATTATCAAAAAATGAATATAATAAAATTTATCTTGATTAACTCAATTATTTCAAATATTTTTCTTTTCTTGAGGAACAATTTTCAACTTCAGATATGGCTTAACATCTTATGTTACCAAACCATTGGTCGACTTTGATCTGAAGGATCAAATAGAGTATTAGAATAGACACTCCCCTGTTTATCACTGTGATGTTCAACACAAAAACTGTGTTTCTGGATCAAATTATGGAAGTTAGTGTTTGAATTTCATAAAATTTGAAACAATCTAATTACGTAATCTGTTTACAGTTTCTAAGATTTGCAAAAGGAGATTCAGCATACACAAAACAGAAAATACAAATATAAGCAGGCAAGAACACCATCCTTGGTCCTAATCCAGTGCAGCTTGAGCTTGGCTTCCGTTTGGTGACAAAAAAAAAAAATCTCTTCATTACATGCTTTGATGAAATATTTTGGATATATTTCGAATTGGGTTAATTTTAGTCTTCTGTTACAGACATTCAATCATGCTTTTATAACTTTAGTCTTCTTCAATCCTCTTGTCTTTAGTTTTTGGTATTTGCTCTTCCATAGTTGACCTTATTTAAGTGAACCACAGTTGAGTTCCTGGTGCTGATGCTGCATGATGAGAATCCATTATGAACATTGAGATCAAAAAATGGTTTACATTATTTAATTTATTGAAAAACTCATTGGTGTAATCCACATAATAGTCCACTACATGCGAAGGAGAAGAACAAGGAAAAAGATAAAAGAAAACACAAAGCAGAATATAATGATGATCATGGGTGCTTAGCTTTCTCTCATCTTTTGCTATTTCCTCCCTTGGTCCTTGTGATTTCTTATTTCACTTTAATTATCTTTGCTGGTTCTTTTTTTTATACATCTTGAAATTTGTAGCTCTGCTTAATTTGTTTATCTCCCATATGAGTATCTGTATTTTTATATATGAGGTTGTCTTTTAGTTCTATCAATAATTTTGGTCTACTGGAAGACTGGTTGGAATCAATTTTCTTTTTTGAAATATGTTGTGGTCTGAGTTATATTAATTGTGTAAGTTAATTAAATATAATCTTAAAAAAATTCAATCAGAAATAAATAAATACAAAAGACAACACAAAAATACAGAATTTTACAGAAAAAAATTTTTACTATAAAAAAAAAAAAACACTACAAACTAAATTCCGAATCAAATTTAGTATCAATAAATTAATAAATATAAACAATTCTAAATATCACGAACTGAATAT